TATGTTTGACTCAGCAGTAGTAATAGTTTAATCTCCACTCTACAACTTTGGCACATAATCGAAGCTGACACTTCAATGTGAGTGTGTACACTATTAGAGGTGCCATTTTCAGATGAAATATTGAACCAGGACCCTTTCAGCCTGCTCAGGTAGATATTGAGAAAGAAAAGCTGCAATGAAGGATTTGCCAGCATTTATCCGGAGCTAACATAGACTTACTTGGTTATGCATTTCGTTGCTATTTGTTGCATTTTGCAAAGCTACAGTGAATACACTTTAAAAGGAATTAATTGGCTATAAAATGCTTTAGGATGTTCTAACTATGAGAAAAGTAATAAAAGTGTGCAAGATTTTTTCATATTTTTCCGTGTCTTTAGATGATATGAGCATCTCCAATGGAAACTCGGTGGTCAGAATGTCAACTAAATAGAACCACACACAGTGGAGATGTTGGTGGCAGGGTGCAGATTCGCTCGCAATTGATAGAAATTGTCCTGTGATGCTTTAACTCAGAACTGTCACTAGTACACTATTTCTGGTTTTCCTGGACAATTAAAGATGACAAACAGGATGGCTTACCAAATCAGTTAAAGGAGGATTGTTTTCTCATTTAAGTGGGGAGCATATTGACCAAACAGCACATTGACTCCCTGTTCATTTGCAAACCCACCTGAAGCAGGTGCAGGTCAGATCATGTTGTGTTTCCAACATGATGTCACTTTTCCAGGATTTAACCCTGTCTGCACACACAACCACTTTCCCTTTGTGATTAAACATCTGTGCATTGTTTCTTCATGACCAATTTACACAACTCACTACACAAAGGCAACGAATGATAATATTACAAGTACATTCTGTTCATACCTTTGTTGTTAATTGTCACATAAATTGTTCAAACTGGTTGTTTCATTGTTAAAATAAGTGGTTAACAGTCTGGTAATAGATAAATTCAGCTACCCTGGTAGATGACCAAATAATTTGAAAAAAGACGGTCAGTGATATGACACCTCCCCCACTGTCTGAATTCTGTTGTGTTATCAGGCTGCTTGTCAATTGCAACGCCATGTTTAAATGCCAATACATGAAGTTCCAAGCTCTGGTTATTCACAGCAAACTTGCGTAATTCTGTATTGTAAAAGTACTGCCCTTTCACATAGTAAGCAATAAATACGTAACTTGCCAGGATTGATAGATCTTACAAGATCATTTTCTGGATGGGAATGTGGTTTGGAGACTCAGTCATATATTTTAAGCAGAGACAAAACAACTATAGATGCTGGAATCCAAGGTAAACAAATAGGAGGCTGGAAGAACGTGGCAGGCCAGGCAGCATCTGGTGGAAGGGAGCAGTCAACATTTCAGATATTACCCTTCTTCGGGACCTACCTGTGAAGGTAGCCCCTGTCCAGTAAGGCTTCATGCTGTAAACCTCACCTTGAAAACCTCACTCTGACATATTGTACAGTTTCTGTATATTTTATTTGTGAAAAAATCCGAATACTGATTTTAGCCTATGCAGGCAGCTTTGATGTTGTGATGTATTTCACCTTTCTAAACTAGGAGAGAATATAGTGGGCACTTCATGCCAGTGATTTTTTTGAAATTTTTATTTGTTCATCACAATAATAGAGTAGCACTTTGAGCTGCACATAATTTCTCATGTAACTGGCACACACTTAAAGGACTGTTCTCTGTACTGTAGAGCTCTATGTCTCAGACACAGCATTTATGAAGTTCACAGGAGAGTCAATCTGCACTAGAATTTGCTTTCTTCATTAAACTCTGGACAAAGTGATTGGAATTAAATCCACATCGTATCTGGCAGACCCTATTAGCGTCTACTCAAGAGGTTGTATCTTGCGATTTTTGGCTAAACAATACTTGTGTTGAAGTATTTGGAGGCTTTTTCACCATGAGGCCTAGCAAGATTGCTCACTGTATCTTACCAAACTAATCCTATTAACCCCCTCCTGGGCCCATATGATATCCCTTTTGTCTGATGCTAGCCCTATTTTATCACACACCATTCTCAGTACAACTTGCCACCCAGCATCTATCAGCCACAAGATCAACATTCCTTGCGCCCACACCTCTTTGAAAGGCCACTGTGTACCCGGTCAAGCTTTGACAGTCTGCCCCTCACCAGCTATGTAATGGCACAGCAGCACAAAATCAGGCTGTTCACAGCACATAGGCAGGATGGCTGACACACTCTTGCATGTAAAACCAATTCTCTCACCCTCATGTGTGTTAAACCACCACACCACAGTGTTCCTATCCTTAGCTGGATTCTGTTTAGACACTCTCTCGAAGTCACTGCCACTCTGTTCCCAATGCCTAAAGGACACCTACAGCTTGTATTCATCTAGTAGGGGAACATCACATCCAGGCAAGCAGTCAGAAACCATAAGCATGAGCTTTTACTTACAGCCAACAAAAGCAAACACAAAGAAACTGACTAAAGGCTGTAATCCTCCTCCATGCTGCTAACTATATGATGGCATGATGATCAACCGTACTTAACAGTCCATGATGGTCTTCTGCACCCATCTCACATCTACTAGAACCTACTGTCAATCAGATCCTCTGGCTTGTCGCACCCAATATAGCTGAGCCTTGTCATGTACAAGGTAAGCTTCCTCCTCCCCAGTGTCTTTGCCTTTCTCCTTTGCATACAGCTCCTGTTTCCCTGGTTCCTCGGTACCTAGCACATACCTTGTTGCCTGCTCCAACTGTACACAGCACAACACTCTAGGATCATGAAACACATGTATCCAGACCACACTGGAGGGCTCTCTCAGATTAGTTCAAACCCTGGAACCACACCTTCAGAAGCTCTAAACTGCAATGCCAGCTGATTGACCACCATATTATATCCACAAGGGTGTGTGTGCTGTGCTCTGACTCCATTCTCATCCTAGATCACATCAACCATGGAGCCTCTCACTAAATCCAAAAATTCATTGTTACACTGACATATCAGGTGATACAGCAATGTTCCTCTCCTCCCACAGCATCCTGGGAAGCTTTACAACAGATGGGGCACTTTTGACCAGCATTCACTTCATTTCAAGTCACCGCCACTAACCTCTGCATCACTGAGATGGTAATGTGAGATCTGCGAGCACCAAAGGCATGGTGCATTTACCTTTATCCAGCATATTCACTCTGCATTGAAAATGTGCAAAGAATAACTGCAAATGAAATGCAGCTGGAGTTTTGAAAACATGTGCTTCATGTATTTGCTCCTTCAATGTCCTGGGGTTTTACAGACAGATCCTGCACTTTTGTCCAAAGTGAGTGAATTTGCCCACTGAGCATTGCCTCAGCCACTTTCCAGTTACATTTCGCTGAAGAACAGCAAGTGATGGCAGGGAACACGGTTCACAGTAGACACCATCAGCACCAGGCTCCATTTGGTCTGTAGGTATCCCCCAGAACCTCCATGTCCCCTTTTATCTCACTCTGTCCTGATGGTCCAGACATCCCATCACCCCAATCCATTGTGGAGACCCACCATATTGAACTTCACTTCTAATTAATCCTCCATGTCTCCCCAACCCCAATATTACACCTTAATAACACTCTGTTCTTCTACACACTACCTGTGGAGGCCCCATCCATAAAGTCCTCCAACCTCAGCACCATCCTTGTGCCTACCGCTACTTTTCTCCCAACCTGAGCCATGATTTACCCACCCCCTTTGATGGCGATCCACCTCCATTGCCTCTACATGCTCCCCTTACGAACCATCCAAAACCCAGGATGGTATCCATCCCAGACCATGTTTGATGAGCAGACCCAAAACATAACTGATCAGACCCCCGTGTTTGCAGGTCCCTGACGGACAATACACATTTCCCATTTCTGATGGCTGGCACACACTGCAGATATAAGATTGGCATCTCAGTGTGTCTTACAGAAAGATGTTCCCCTGGATAATTCCCTTCTGACAGGCAGACTTTCTGTGTGTCTGTGCAAAAGAACCAAACAGGAATGGCATGGCTACTGCAAATGAGTACGTTCTAAGTGAATGAGTGCTAACAGAGCAAGTGAGCAGTCTTACAAGTGCTGCCTGGTTCAGTCAGTGAGCTGGGTTCATGTCCCTGCTTGCAAAGTGTCTTTGCAGTAGCCATTCAATGCAATTGAGGGATGTACTTCCTAAACATTCTGCAAGTGGAAGGGGCTGGCAAATGTTGGACATGCAATGTGTATGGCTGGTGCCCACGGATAGAACTCAGAGATGCAAATTGGTGCAATGCAACTTGAAGGCTCCTTGCAGCCAGCAACAAGCTGAAGTCGCCAGGTACCTGCTCTGACTTTTATGTTGAGAACTGTCAACGTTCAGGTGCTTGGTAAGATAACAATATGAATATTAATGATGCGAGTTGAGGCATTACTGAGGCATTTAACAAGCTTTAATCACCTTTAATAGGCAACTCACCGCTGCCTGGTAAGAAACTTGCCTCGCTGCTCGACAAGTTCACATTAGATGCAGCAAGTTGCTGCTAACATTGAGATAGACCTTGCCAGATGTCTTATGCAATTCTGTCATAAATTTCAGCATAGCCCACGTTGTTCAGACCCCTGTAAGATTCCACCCAGCATCAGAGGTCCTACTGAATTGTTTTCACCCCAAATGTTCTTTTTGGATTTATAAAAAATTTGTTTAGGTCAGGAATAAATGCAAGTACCTCCTCTTTTGATCATGTGTATTTGTTACCAAGAAACAATCGTGCCCTCTCTTAACCCGAAAACTTGGCCAAGAGCAAACCTGATTGATTGTCTTAAATAATTTTCCATTCTTTCTTGTAACCTGCCGACTTAGTATTCCATTTTTTTCCAAGAACAATTTGTTTCAAACTACTCAGCCTGTGTAAGATGATCTACTGTTTAATAAATATTTTACATGTAAATCACATTTTACTGTAAAACACTAATATGTACCAATTTATCATACCACGTGGAAAAGGACCCCATATATTTTTTTTGATTGTTAAAAAAAGCATGTACAATTTGCATTGGAAACATAGATGTTGCCCACTGTCACATTAAAAAAGCTAATGCCTTAAGGTGAACAACACGATCATTCTGAATGCAAGTGTTTTAAGGAGAGCATTTTCCATTCCTCCTATGAACTAGGTACTGCTCCCAAAGTTTTATTATCCAGTTACAACTGAAGGTGTCTACAATCAAGACATCATGCTACTGTCGTCATTGATGGCTATGTCATTAAAATGGATTGGGATTTTCAGCAAATAGCAGGAAACCAGCTTTAAAAAAATGTTAATTTCTGAGTTCACAAAGAAATGTAGTTAAAACAAAGTCAGCCAACAATTTGCAGATCTTACAAAACAAAATTCATTCTCTGCAAGTCTATCTGTTGCTATGGAAATACTCGAGCAGTTTGCTACTGGGAACGATCACTCCATTGTTGGACTACAGGAGAATATTATCCACAGAACAGATTTAAATTATACACATCATCTATTGAAATGTGAATTTTAAAATAAAGTCAAAAATGTTTGCTTTGTATGGATTGGACCTTACATTCTGTGGCAAGCTAAAATGTAAGAAAATAGTATAAAACTTCATACAGCTTACCCCAAAAGATGACTTGTATTGTCCTGCAAACTTTTTAACACTGTCATAACAAATTTAAGGCACCTTAAATCACATGTTCTTAATTTTAGTATAGACAACAGCCTATTACATAAAATCTCAATGCGATGTCATAGACAATCTGAGTAAACAAACCAAAAACCATGTAAGTTTATTTTCTTCTGTGATTATTTTTCTCTTCAGAATCTTGTCTCAATAATAGCATAAAGTGCTTCAGCATGATGATAAAGATTGAACTGCAGCTTCTGTAATGGGCATTTATGCTAATATGTGTCACTGACCCGGCAGGTACTTTTTGCTATACTTGTTAAATTGTTGGGCCCTGCCATCACAAAACATGATGATTCCAATTTTGCTTCCTTTAGACAGCGAAGTTTGTGATCACCTACGTGTTGCTTTAATATGTCAGGCTCTAACGGAGATTCAGCTGGAACCATACCATCGTTTTTGAAGCCAGTTGAATTACAATCAACCACCTTATCACTGCACACAAGGGGAATGGCCCTTTCACTGGAAGTATGTTTCATTGTGCTACTTTCCTTTTGCTGTTCATCTTCCTCATTGCTTTCCTTATCATACAACTTTCCAATGTTCTCATATACATCAGATACTGCACTGGTTGCCACCTCAACCCGGGGATGTGCATTATGGCCTCCATAAGCTTCAGAACAGTCCATACTCTGACGAGAACAGCTAGGCAAGGAAGAGGGAGCCCCCTCTCCATTATAAACAGAGAAAGGTATCATTGAATATTGATTACCACAGTCTTGATAAAAGCAGCAATTATGCAGGCTGCTGTCATATTCTTTGGCAATCCGCAGTCGCTTCCTATAGGTTGATTCCTGTGATCCGAACCAATCCTGAGTTGGTGTTTCCCCAAATGAGCAGGCAGATAAATACCAGTCATTCTGCATTTCTCCTCGAATCCGTTTCAGCAAATTGTTGATCAGCACGGAACGCCGCAGAAATACTTCCGGATCTTCAATAAACCTTAACTTTTCCAGTGATAAACGAAGTATGTGGGTGCGATCCTCAGGAACAGCCAAGTTCCGTGCCTAAACAAAGAAATTAGGCAACAAATATTGCACACAAGTATTCTTTCTAATATAGCAGCACTGAATCAGCTGGGTTTACTCTAATTTCTATGTTTAATTTTATTAGATGAGTTTAAGTCAGTGTTGTCAGATAATTCAATTATAATTGGGATCAAACATGAATTCAGCAACAATCAATTAAGGACATCTAAATAAATTACAATACAACATTTTTGTGCAACAGTGGGTGGATAGGAAGATTGTAAAATATAATTAAAAGTTACATTTGCTTTTGTTTCTGAGAATAGGCTTTCAGCATAAGATAGGCTGTTAGGCCCAAAATCACCACCCACCATAAAAAAAAATGTCTTCTTGGCAGCCAGTGTTCCCACCTCAAATACTGCTTCCATTTGAGAGGACCCAAATAAATGCTTCCCTTGGTCATGTTTTAGAACATTAGAAAGAAGCATAATAGAAAGTAAGCACATAAACTCTTCTCTGTCTAGGTCTTTCATAAATGGTCTGTTCTCACATCATTGGCTCCCCAAAAAAATGGAGAGCTAAGGGGAGTGGTGAAGACAATTGCTAAATTAAATTGATTAAATATGGACTCAAATATCTCCTGTTTCTTTGTGCTAATTCCAAGAATGTTAAAATGTTCCAATGTCCATAATTTTTTTCACTTATATTGGCATATTAATTGGAGGAACGAAAGCACATATGAAATTTCAGTTTGATATCTACATAATGAAAACAAACACAAGCATTCTGGTTATTGCAAAAGCAGGTAACAGTTTGATATTTCAGCACAGCTGCAATATGTGCCCTGACTCTAATCTCAATGGACATAGTTGGAAGGAAATAATGGAAAATTGAAGGTAGATGTAACCTAATCCCAAGTCAGAAGTTAAATTAAAAGGCAATTCTAACAAATTTGTGTAACCTACTCTTTGGCAGCAGGTGTGAGCAGGTGGATGAAGATCTTCATCTTCCACATATTTCCGTTTGAAGTATGCTATCTTGGACGTTGTTAGAAAATTTGAGATTCCTTTGCAAGGTGATTCTATAGAAACAAATCAAATATAGCAATTACATATGTTTGAAAACTTCCTCATTTACTAAAAATTCTAATTTCTTCCCATGCAAAACGACTTGGAATTAATACTGTTAATCCCATATTTCCTTGGATTCATTCCAAGATAGCTGATTAAATTCAGATATCTACAGGATATTCTTTCATTTGCATGTTCTAATAGTATATCAGTTAGGGAGAAAGATTACATGCAAAATTTCAGTAATGATATGTTCACAGAGCTAAAAACAAACATAATTATTTCTGGTATTTTAAAAGCCAAATAGCAGGGTGACAGTTCAGTACAGATGTAATTATTAGGCATTCCACTTGCTAATAATAGCAGTCTTCTTAATTTTAATATTTTGTTTTAACATTATTCCAAAGGATATGTGAATTACCATCTTCTGCTGAATTACTTTTTTTTCATAGACTGAGACAGGACAAAAGACTGGCATTTTATTACAAAATTCTTTGATAATTATGTCTATTGTTAGTGAGAGCAATTTAAGATTATTTACTAATGCCTATGGGGTGAATCCAATACTGTTTAACGTAGATCTTTTTTTAAAATCAGCAATGTATCATATGGTGAGATGCTTACTAACAGTGACACAGACTGACACAGAGATCCTTATTTTCATCACTAGTATTAAACAATGCATTAGTGACAGGTTTTTCTGGTCATTCTTATCCAAGCATCAAAGATTTAAAGGAGGCACAATTGCCTATAGCCCATTGAAATTGTTAAGTGAGGGTTAGAAATATTATTTGTTGATACAAATACAGGAAAGCAATATTTTACTCCTGTCTTTCTGTATTTTAGGATGTATTTCATCTAGTGTTAAAGATGCAGTGTAAAAACTTGAAGTTATATAGCTTTTGAAGTTATATAGCTTTCTTCGTAATTTCAGGACATTCCAAAACACTGCATAACCAATTAAATACTTCTGAAATGTAGTCATTATTATAATCGGGATAGGATATCCTGACAGTCAAATTCCACACAGCAAGCTCCCACAAACAGCAATAAAATAAAAACCAAGATCATTTGTTCTAGGTATTGCTTAGGGTATATATGTCAGCTAGGACACAACTAGAACATCCCTGCTCTTCTTCACATAATGCCATAGGGTCTATTACAATCATCTGAAAGGGTGATGGCTCCTTAGATTAACATTTCACACAAATGAAAGAGAAATAAACATATAAAATGCAAAAGCATAACAAAGGGACACAGATTCAAACTAGAAAATGCAAATGTAGAACAGATAGTAGGAAATTCTTCTTTACACATAAACTGAATGATGGAAGATGTGCAAGGACGGAACAGTTAATGCTTGGTTCTTTTCTCGCTAGTGTGTTTGAACAATATTAATTTTAATAACCTGTACCCTAATAACATAAAAATCTGCTTTGGCACAGAATTTTGCCTGGCAAGATCACAGATCAGAAAATTAAGCTTCACAGACAATTAACCTGATTCATAGTGGTCCCAGGTTTTCAGCCATGAAAAGAATTGCCTAAAAAATTGACAGCTTCATGTTTTGTAATTGATGTTTATTTTTCTCTGATGTGAGCACTCCCGGTAAAGATTCTAAACTTGGAGCAAAATCTTTCAATTTCAGGCCTTGTTTATTTGCATTGGTGAATTGGAGATTCTAAATACAAAAATGGGGAATGGCATATCAAGATTACTACACATTTTACTTCAATGCACAACTTTTGTTAGTCATAAAGCACAATTCTGTACCCTATTTTTCTTCTGGTTTCTCCCTTCCTTTTCTGAAGTTGTTGACTTGTATTGGAACTTTACCATATAAACTAGTCACGCTTCAGGTAAACTCATGACATCCTCATTGTCCACAGGTAAATCTGGACTCTGGACATTGGAAGGTTCTTGAAATGAGGCAGCAATTGCCGAGTCTTGTTCTGATGTCAAAATAACAGAGAGCACTAGAATTCTACTTGGTAGTTCAGCTTACTATCTCAAGAACGCATGGCTAATTATTGCATCCTGTTAAATGCATAACTCTGCAGTTTATATTTGATTTCTCACTGTTCCATATGATCTATTTGCTCCTCAATATGTCCCAATGTACTAAACTGTACTACTTTGCAAAAATTTGAATATTTTATATCTCTGCTAAGTTATATTTTCATTCCATGGTAAATCAATTTCTGCACTTAACAATGGAATGCATTGTGCCTTGTACACGTGGAAATTTAAATTTTGTTTTACTCCTTTGAGTTATTAACAGTATTATTGCTGAACACACCAGTAAAGCTCACAAAGAACAATAGAAATGATATTATCAAACAAAGGATACCTCTTATTAAACTATAAAATTCCAACTGAGGCATTCAGCACATTTTGCAAACTATGGGAGAAAAGATGAAGCATCTTATGTTAGTCACAAAAGCAAAAAATTCTGGAAATGTTCAGCACCTCAGTGAAAGCTGATGGGTAAAATAAGCTAAAATTCAGAAGTATTACATCAAAACTGCATAAACCTGAAAAATTAGTCTATAGAATATTTTCATAAATATTTGCATTCCTTAAAATTTTATTATTGCAAATAGTATTTATGATTGCTCATTTCATCATATTTTTTAAAATTCTGGATAGACAAACTGCTTCCTTAGCTTCACTGAGAGTATGCAGGTTACTGAGTTTGTCTGTAGTAAATTATGTAAACCGTTTGATGTCAATGCTATTTAAAGTTGCTACATGATGGAGAATCTGATGGAATAATGGATCTGTGATATCATTCAGAGTATTAATATTCTCAAAGATAATTATAAATGTTATTCGTAAATGGTCAGGATATATTGCAAACTGATGTGATCTCAGAGTCACAGAGTTTTTACAGAACAGAAAGAGGCCCTTCAGCCCATCGTGTCTGCACCTGACATCACACATAAATCTATTCTTTTCCAGCACTTGGCCTGTCGCCTTCTATGCTATGGCATTTCAAGTGTTAATCTAAATACTTCTTAAATGTCGTGCCGGCTCCTGCCTCTACCAATCTTTTAGGCAGTGAGTTCTAGATACGCATCACCACGCACACTTTCTGTGAACTCTGGTTGCTGATCCCTCGATGAAGGGGAAAAGTCACCCTATCTATGCTCCTTATAACACTGCAATCAAATCCCCCTTCAGCCTTCTCTGCTCCAAGGGAAACAACTCCAGCCTTTCTAGCTTTTCTTCATAGCTGAATTGCTCCAGTCAAACTATAATATTTTATATACAGCTCCATCATAACCTCCTTGCTTTTATATTCAATGCCTTGTCTAAGATAGGCAACTATCCCATCTGCTTTATTAACCACCTAATCTAATTGTCATTTGTCCACATGGATCTGTGCATATGTACACCAAGGGCTCTTTTATCCTTTGTACTTCATAGGGTCCTACCATTCAACAGGTACTCCTTGCCTTGATTAGTCCTCCAAAAGCGCATCAATTCACACTTTTCAGGATTAAATTCTATTTGCCACTGTTCACATTTTCTCACTAGTGTGTAGCTGACACTATAGCACAGAGTGAAGTATATCATGCAAATCTTTAATTCTGTCCTGACCATCATATATTTCAGTGTACCCTGTATACACTGTATTTCTTGTTGGAGGGCTGGCAATAAATATATACAGGGAGTGGAAATGAAACATGGGTGTGTAATGTCCACAATCAGGTATAACAATAAAAATCCTCCATCCCAATCAGAAAACACAATCAGCTGCGAGAACACACCTTACAAACTTCGAATTTTCATTTAATGCAGAATATATACCTATATTTTAAGCAATATCCCACTAACTCTAGTATGCTATGGCTTAGCTATTATGAATTTTGAAATTTATAATAAATGACTTATAATGGATTTTCATAGGAATGAAATAGTGCATAAAACTGACCTGCATTGGTTAGGCTTTCAAGTCCTGAACTTTCCCAATTTCCCCATCATAACAATGGTAGGAAATGAATAGAACCTCAACATGCAACAGTAGCTGTTTTAAGCCATATACACATCTTCTCCAGGGATTTTGACAATCTCAGTCTGGAGCACTCTATAGAAATTTCAAATGTCAATCTATTACACTGTCACAAAACTCTAACTGTAAATTTAAGTGGATTTCCATTGGCTCCTGGAACATTGTATTATGAATTATATTTTTCATTCATTTTCATGCATTTGAGAACACCTGAAATGCACAATAATAAATGCCTTGGCCTAAGTACAAGAAATAAATTATTTTAGCCTGGAAATTGTTAGTTCTATTCATGGGTGAACTGCAGGTTACTAAAAGTTTGGATGAAAATTTACTCCTTCTGCTTCACCCACAATATTATCATGTTTTAGTCTACTTTAGTTTCTCCCAGAAAGTAATCAGTCAAGAAGACGGTATCACTAAATTTTACAAATCAGCTGTAAGTTGTAATTAAAAGTTAGATTTCCCAACAGCTTGCCTTCTGTCAGGGCAAAATAAAGAAAGTTAGCAGTTAGAGGCACAATAGTTCACTAAAGCATTTTCCACTGCACTTGAAGCTTGGAACAAAAATAGGTCAACACAGTCCCGATGTAGGTGGCTCACATGCACAGCATTCAAAGTATATAATTCAGGGAAGTCAAGACCAACGAGAAAGCACTGAAATCTAACAAACTGCCAATAAATGTCCTTTTCCAACAAAGATTCAACAGGAGGGAAGATAGACTAGGTGTCACACAGATAAAAGAAACTGCATGCACCAAGAAACAGCACCTTGTTTAGTCAGCCTGTCAACATTCATCTTATATGCAACTGAGAAAATCAATGACTTGCAGTTAATGTGAATATTGTGCTGAAAATGTATGTAATTTCTTATGGCACAAGATGTAAGTAAATAGAATTTGAAGAACCATGTTTGAAAAGGTCTATTCTTCATGGATATTGTTAACCTCTTTAAAAAATCATTGTAGCTGTGAAATAGTTGCGAGTCAGTCAGTTTTTCCGACTACATTGCTAATAACGCTACTAAATTCACGTAGGTGTTTTCACACTTTATGTGTAATGGTTTTGCCATCTTGGTTTTCGACGTGTGAGCCAAGGCCTCGTCATAAAGTATGAAGCTTTGTTTCAAGGTAACAGCAGCCATTTTTGATAATTATGCATTAGCATGCAGGTGCAGCAGGCAAATGGTATGTTGGCCTTCATTGCAAAAGTTTTCGAGTACAGGAGTAGGGATGTGTTTTTGCAGTTATACAGGGCCTTGGTGAGGCCTCACCTAGAATACTGCGCGCAGTTTTGGTCTCCTTTTCTGAGGAAGGATGCTTTTGCTCTCGAGGGAGTGCAGTGAAGGTTTACCAGGCTGATTCTGGGGATGGCGGGTCTGATGTAGGAGGAGAGATTGACTAGGTTGGGATTGTTTTTGCTGGAGTTCAGTGAAAGAATGGGGATCTCATAGAGACTTATAAAGTTTTAACAGGCCTGGACAGGGTAGATGCAGGGAAGACGTTCCCGATGGTGGGGGTATCCAGAACCAGGGGTCACAGTATGAGGATTTGGGGTAGACCATTTAGGACGGAGATGAGGAGACATTTCATAGAACAGTTCATAGAATCCCTACAGTGTGGAAACAGGCCCTTCAGCCCAACACATTCACACCGACCCTCGAAGCATCCCACCCAGGCCCATCACCTTATAACCCACCTAATCTACACATCCCTGAACACTTTGGACTGTGGGAGGAAACCGGAGCATTGAGCAGAAACCCGCGCAGACACGGGGAGAATGTGCAAACTCCACATAGACAGTTGCCCGAGGGTGGAATCAGACCCAGGTCTCTGGCACTGTGAGGCAGCAGTGCTAACCAGTGAACCACCATGCCATTCTACCAATGTATAGAATTGGTGATGTTATATAGACCCGACCATGGAGTACCACTCGCTGAGGCACATCTTTCAGGATGCATCGTAGTAATCTATTCTTCACCCAAAGAGTGTTGAGCCTGTGGAATTCATTACCACAGGAAGCAGTTGTTGCCAAAACGTTGAATACATTCAAGAAGTGACTAGATATAGCACTTGGGGCAAATGGGATCAAAGGTTATGGGGTGAAAGCAGGATCAGGCCATTGAGTTGGATGATCAGCCATGATCGTGAAGAATGACAGAGCAGACTCGAAGGGCTGAATGGCCTCCTCCTGCTCCTATCTTCTATGTTTCTATCTGTGCTCTGCTTCCAAATGTGGGTAGGTGCATGTGTGTTGTAAGCCATAGGTGTATAATGTAGCCTCAATTTGTTGATACCAACCTTCATCTGGTCTCAAATATGGGTAGGACAATGGTAGTTCTGAAACAAAAGGATCCTGAGCATCTCATGCATTTTCCTGAATGATAGTGTGTTATCTATACAGTATGATTTTTTTCACTGAAATACAAAAATAGTCCCTTTAGGGATATCATACAATGCACAGTATAGTGTGCAGGAGCTTAAATGGCAAAAGGCAGCAATCACTGATTCTCTACAGACTAAAAAAGCCAAAGGCTTGACAGAACAGTGTTGCCCCTTCACATTGTCACTTTTGCCACTGAACAACAGAAGCAAACTTACTGATTTATTGAATAAAGCAAACATGACATTCTGGATGCATTTTAGGTTGCCAATTCGCCAACACTGCAAGTTTTCCAGTACTATCTGGAAGTTGTTTGAGCAAAGTGCCTAAAAACTAAGAGCACAACTGAATTTGCTGGCCTCTAGTGCCATGGTGATCTTACATGTTTTGCCACAGTGTACCTCTGGACCTAAAACTTTGCAGCCTATTATTACGGTTTTGGGAATCACAGTTTGATATGGGTTAGGTGTTATATAACAATGGTAGACCTTGACAGTTGACAACATTTGCTACTTGGTACCATGAGTAGCCTCTCCTTGTTCTTGTAGATTCTGCTGTGCCAAAATAAGTACTGCTGAAGCACTGAATGTAGCCACATCTGTAACCAGACAGCTGGAATGTGGGAACAGTACTGATCCAAATAACCCTTGCTTCCTGTAACTTTGCATCTGTTCCATGTGGATGTGTTGAATACTTCGTGCCAGTGATATTTTCCAACAGCAATGTACTGTGATGGTTGTTTTGTTAGCAATCTGACCAGTTAACTATTCGATTGAACTAACTGAGTACAATAGTACCCCAATAGGATTTCTCCCTCCAGTGAATTCCACTAGGTCAGGAAAAAGCAGCCAACCATAACGACACTATTGCCCTTTTTTTTCAGTTGGCACTGGTGCAAATGCTTTAAGCCACCAAAAATTTCCAATAAACGTAAGGTGAAACTAGTGATCTGAATACCATCACTATATTAACAACCAGAAATCCCCGCTGAGGATTCATTTTTACACATTTATCGTGAATTTCATTTTTTACACATCATATATCTTTGTATTGAGACTGGTCAGCAGAGTCAGTACAAACTCCCACTGCCCATTTTGTTTTTGATGCATGGTGCTGTTTAAAATGAAATATTAATGACTGAGGCACTATATCTGCCATTTTATTCAGAAATAACTTGCAATTGATTCTTGTAGGGTTGTGTGCTGTAAGTATATACAACGTGTGATAGAAATTGGATAACTGTCCAGCTGCATTTTTAAAAAAAAACGCATATAGTTGTGTGAAGACTAATACATCAAAAGCTGAAAGCCTTTCAAATGTATAATAAGTCACCAATGTAAATAGGCAATTGTAAGATGCCAGAGAAAGCAAACTCTGTCTTCTCTTGTGAAAATCACATTTTATGTCCATTTCGGCCCTCTCACTCACCCCTGTTATAAACTGTGGTTGACTGGCGCAAATTCACACCTAGGAAGGTAAATAAATCCGCACCCACATATACACAATCTTAGCCCGAAAAAAAACACCACCTAGTCAGCTGTCTGGTAGCCGCTGCTGACTGACCTGTGGGCTCTCCGTATTTAGTCTGGTCTGGGATCACTGTGGTTTTGCTGAAAGATTCTTCCCAGCTGGGCACGTACTCCGGGATATCTGAGGGTTCTTCAACAGGAAGATCGCATAATCTGCTCATCGAAATCACCAAGGTCATTTCTCAATCGAGGTACTGCAGAAACAAACAACGGCAGTCGGTTTGATTCAAAGGGGGGAAATATACAGAGATTTCTGCATTTCATTTGCTGCAACGTCTCAGGTCATTTTAGCTCCCTTCCCCCTTCCGAGAATCCCCAAATTCATTTAAAGCTCCGATTCAATGAGACCTCGGCCGTCGATTCCCTGTAGCCTCTTCAGAACCTCCACCCACCCACTAACTTTAAACCAGAAACCATCCGATGGCGTGGTTCAGATCCTTTGGAAACATCACAATTGCATTCCAGGATTTTCTTTTGCATCTGGCATTTTGCATTGTGGAAAACACAATTCGTCACCTTTTCTGGACCTCGCACCCCCTCCCCCAACAACACGTAAAAAAGAAAGCGTGTTTCACACCTTACCTGTCATTCAGAGTCGACTTCGGCTGCACTTCATAAAACTTGTGAGAAATCGATGGACGTGGGGCAACAGCAAACCCCAGGCTTCTGGAGTCACAACACTGAGAATGGGACAGGAGAATTGGCTCAGAATTCGTTGTGTGTGTGTATGTGTGTGTGCGCGCCGAGTCCCCGAGGAGCCAAGCACAACGTCAAAAGCATGCAGATTAAACAAGCATTGGTATTTGAGGAGAAAGAACTGCCCTGAAAAATCGAAGATAAACAAAACACACCGAATCCCTTTTTTCAAACATATATTCGATAAAATGGTAAATAATCCGCTTTATTTCCCCCTCCCCCCGTGACACCTGATTTTTGTTATATTCCGCTGCCACTTCCACACAGATTTTATATAGAGAACATTATATCCTGCATTCCGCAAGGATCACTGGTGCCAAATAATACTTTGGAATCCGGTTCGTTCTGGCGCGGAATATTCGTGCAGGATGCGTGCGGAATTGCAAACCACAGAGTCACAAAGGTAAATCCATTTTACTGACTTTAGCTTGACGAGAAATAAAGGGGGGGGGAATAACAACTTTTAAATTGGATCTTAAAGGAAAAGCTGGTGTATATTTCTCGAGCTCACACCCAGGCGCTCCTTCGCGTGGCTGGTGAATGATTAAAAATGGTCAACGAATTGTGAACAAACTTTATTTTCTGTCCTGCCGTTCTATTGCAAATCGACAAAAAAAAAGTCACTTTCTCAAAAGCCGACGGGAGCAAAACCGGCGTCTAGTATTTCAACATCAACCAGATTCCTCTGTCCCTCTGTGTCCAAGGCTACTTCGAACGTGAAGGTATTATTAAAAATCCCAAAGACATACCTAATTGTGTCAGCAGTTCGGCTGGTAATAGTGGCCTGGGACGCGGGGAAGCTAACTGCAACATTTCTGAGTGCGTACAGTCATATCTCCAGGAATCCTACCTATAGTATCCATTTCCCCATAGAAGGAAAACTGCTGAGACGCCGACGAATGAATGCTCCCAGTATTTGTGCGAGGAATGGGGCGGGGCGGCTCCGAGGATTGGCTCCCCCAAAGAAGTCGAGCCATGCACCAAAACCCTTCATTGTCAAAACCACTGGAACGGACTCCAAGAAAGCAAAGTCTCGGATTCCTTTTATAGAGCATTTTTTCATACCCGTCTGTGACCACGCGGCCAAACGTGGCAACAGAGTTTTTTTTAAAAAACTTCCTTTCTGTTTTGTAAGGCATCTGATTTCCGATGCTTCCGCCCCCCTCAGAAATGGATAAATTAGACAGGGATCTCACCCTGGTCACAACCTCGGGGCGGGTGTGAACGTTTCCCCCCCTTCGAGCCTCTCGGCTTTAACTTTCTCATTTCTCTTAGCCCTGCCCGATCCTCAATGTCTCGCATCAAAAAATCGCACTCGGTTACGACTGCACGATTTGCATCCAGACATGGCCAAATGCACCCAACAACAGACCTGTTCAGGAGGTCCCCGTGAGGCTGAACCCAAGTGCAAAGAGCCCGCCAAAAATCAATCCCCTTTCCCTGTAGGGGGGAAAGGCGGCAATGCAGAGGCTTTTGTGTCAGCACCGGGTTACAACACCTTGTTGCTGAGGGAGTTGGGGGGAGTGGTGTTCTGGCCGGCTGATCACACTGGATTCCGTGTGCACACAATCCACTGGTTCACATCTGGAAATGAAGCCTGGAAGCTGCACATGTTCTAATGCACGCCCGCCCGTTTACACTCACAGACCTGGCGACCTTCGTGGTTGCTGGGTGTTGATATAAAACATTGATGGTCGCCCGCTTTTCTTCTGGTTTGAAGTGCGGCGGGGCGTTCTCGCTGCTTCACATCCAAAAATGTCTTGTTCAATTAACAAACCTGACACACCGCACCTCGCCCTCTCGTGTTTTGTTTTCCTCTCTCTCTCCCACATGCTCCGACAAGTAGTCGGATGAAGGCGGCCAGTTTGTCTCTGAAGCGCCTCCAGGAGGTGTTTTTTTTCCCCCCTTCTCTCTGGAAAGGCAAGTTTTGACGGAAAGGTCACCCGACCTTGAAACATTCCCCGCTTTCGCTGTCGATAAATACAATCCGCCCTGCAGAGTATTTACAGTATTTTCTTCTTTATAAATGTCAGATTTGGAACCGAACTTCACCCAGAATACCCCAAATTCACACAACGGTTTCTGTTTTAAGAAGTCTTGCAGGAAAACTGGTACATAATTGGGATCGTTGGTGTGAGTTTTGAGGTAGGGCGAATGCCACTGAATGCTCCCCATAACAGCACACCTGGCTGAGAACACCATTGGGCAAATGGTGCTGGACTTCATGTTGGCGGGAGAAGTATGTCAGGTTTTAGCTGGCACACAGCACTATTGATGCCAGCACTGTAACCTGGTAACTCAACACCTCTTAACTTTGCACAACTCAATGGTCTTACTCCCCACGAGCCTTCTGTCTTCTTGGGCAGTCCCACGAGATAAGACCATAAGACATAGGAGCAGAAATTAGGCCATTCAGCCCATCGAGTCTGGTCCGCCATTCAATCATAGCTGATAAGTGCTTCAACCCCATTCTCCTGCTTTCTCCCCGTAACCCTTGATCCCCTTGATAATCAAGAACCTATCTATCTCAGTCTTAAATGTACTTCATGACCTGGCCTCCACAGCCTTCTGTGGCAGTGAATTCTATAGATTCACCACTCTCTAGCTGGAGAAGTTTCTCCTTATCTCCGTTCTAATAGGTCTTCCCTTTACTCTAAGGCTGTGCCCTCTGGTCCTAGTCTCTCCTACAAATGAAAACATCTTCCCAACATCCACTCTGTCCAGGCCATTCAGTATTCTGTAAGTTTCAATTAGATCCCCCCCCTAAGACGGAGAATAACTTTCTTCCCCTCCAGTACTGTATGTTCTGACGTGTCTAAACAGTCTGATGCTGGATTTGGGCAACCTGCCTCAGCTGGGGCAGGTGGCCTTTGAAGACGTGGGCAGGTTGGTGGGATGATTGGGTTGTTTGTGCTTGACCTCCAGTTGGGTCTGTGAGAGAGGCGTGAAATGATTGAGACCTTCATGGATGTTCCTTGTCCACTCTGGGCAGTCTTGGGCAAGAGATTCCCACAAGTCAGTGGGGATCCTTCATTATTCAGTGAAGCTTTACAAACATCCTTGAAGTGTTTATGGCTTGTGGTCTCAGAGCTCAGACTATAGAGCTTGTTTTGGGAACTTTGCGTCAGTAATGAGGCCTGCCCAACTAGAGAAGATGTATCCATGAAGTTGCAAGTAAAACGGAATGTTGGTGTTTCTTATTTGTCACTGTCTTCATGTTTTGCTACCACTTGCTCTTCCGTCAGTGCCTGACCATATGGCAGCTCTTGGTTGTCGGAAAGGAGCAAGGCGCAAGTGTAGGACTGTACTGAAGGAAGAGGGGAAAAGGCTGAAGATGCATTCTAGCCTAATTGCAGCTTGTAACTCAGGAGAGGTCATGGAAGAGGGGAAAGCAGGATGTGAGAAGATGGATTAGAGAGAAACAGACTTCTCCTGTATGGTCTCAGCCTATTGATGATCAGTGCCTGAACAATGGTTGCTTCAATAATGGTGACCACTATTTCTTCCACTTCAGTGAAAATATGTAACCTGTGGCTCTCCCCGACAAGTTGACTCCTGCTATCTCTGGTTGTGCAGAAACTTGTCCTCCAATTGAGAGGGATGATGAATTTTTTTTAGAATCCCTACAGTGTGGAAACAGGCCCTTCAGCCCAACAAGTCCACAACATCCCTCCGAAGAGCATTCCACTCAGACCCATTCCCCTACCCCTGCATTTCCCATGTCTAACCTAAACATCCCTGGGCTCTTTGGGCAATTTAGCATGGCCAATCCACCTAGCCTGCACATTTTTGGACTGTGGGAGGAAACTGGAGCACCCAAAGGAAACCCACGCAGACACTGGGAGAATGTGCAAACTTCACACAATCACCTGGAATGGTTGGAATCGAAACCCGGGTCCCTGGCGCTGTGAGGCAGCAGTGCTAACCACTGAGCCACCGTGCTGCCCTAGTTATTAAGTTTGAGTATCTGGCAAAGTGCCAATCTGTGAGATATGGATGAGAGGCTTACAGCAGTATGTGAGGTTGAGGAGAAGTTACAACTGTTACTTATCAGTTGGGATTGATATAGACAGTATTAATAGATAAGAGATGAGTGCAGTGCATTATACAGTGAGGCTAGTGATGTGATTAGTGGGGTATGACATTTGACAATATTATCAGTGTCTTTGTCATTTGAATGAGATCACTGAACCTCCTGTGGGCCCTAAATCCTGGATTACAGGCCTTGACTCCTGAAATTGGCCACCATACATATCTGATCCCATTGTGTTCATACATTTTGGCTGGAGGATCCCATGGCATCCTACAGATAGATCACCTCTCTCCTCCGCCACTCATGTGTCCAATGCAGCAGCAAAATACCTTGATACACACCATCTTCCCTCTTGCAGCAGAGTTCAGTCTATTTACTGTTACTGTGAAGATGTCCTGCATCTTCGTCAGCCAGAAGACACCTCTTAAAGAGCTGCAGTGCAGGGTTTAAGTAGTGCGGGCTAGCTTTAAATGGTGCTAGTCTCTCATAGACCTGAGCTGTCCAAAGTTGCCATACAACCTCCATTGGAAGCATTAGGGACACATTGCAATCTGTATGCTCATTTTAATAGGCTGTTCATTAGCTGCCAAAATGTTTTACTTGGAAGCCTTGTCATAATAACTTTAAGCTATTAAGAGTTGCAAAACTACAAAAAAAATCAGTGAGATTATTGAACAAAGTAGAAAAATTCCAAACATTCCCATAATTCATTTTAATTTTTGTAATAAAGTAACTGAATTTTTAGCATAATTACAGTTCATTTACATTACATGAACTAGTCTGAGAGTGGTAACTGTAGTTTCAGCTGTTAAGTAGTCAGTTAACAATGCCTGGTTAAAATGTTACCGAAGTGAGAGCAGTTTGCGAGAATGCTTACTCATGCATACCAAGATCCTCTCCAAAGTTTCGAGAATTTTTTTTGCATAACCTACACGAGTAAATTTATTGTGGGCAGGCTCAAAAGAGTTCAAGGCTCAACAGAACATATCTTAATCTGTTAGATTAAAAGCTATTTTACATGGTTATTGCTAAACATTTTCAGGTTTAGAAAATGTAACATTAGGCAGCATATTAAAAATACAATCAATTTAGGAATATGTTAAATATTCATTTAATAAACTAATCTAACATTGGTGACATTTGCTATCTTTTTCCTAAGCAATTAGATAAATATATTTGGAATCCAGATATTGGTAACTAATTAGATCACCTTCAGATGAAATTTAAAATAGGAGCAAAAGGCTTTGCACAATATTTTTGAATGTGCCTTTAGCAACTTGCAACAGCTGATAAAGAATGTTTATAAAAAGTCCATGTGCAGGAGGGCAGTCAAATCACAGAGGGAACAAATATAGAAATATCTTTTCGCATGAACACTGTAACTGACACCACTGAAATTTGGTTAATTACATCAAGGAATGTTACTCCACTAGCACTGAGCACATTAGACCATTGAATTTTTTACGAGCATTCAAATTTTGAAATGGACTAACATCAAACCTGCTCTAAGAGATGCTGCAAAGCAGGCCAAACCTGTTTCTCCATCAGATACCAAATTTAGGTCTTTGAGGTCAGTTTCTTACACAAATAGTGTGGGGGGCAATTTAAATAGTTAGAAATATGAATTTTGCTTCTCCAAAGCTCTGATTTTTAAATCATGAATATGATACAAGTTTGCTACATGTACCAATTTACGACCACCTAACTTTCTCTGCATCTTGTGAACCATGAGCCAACAAGACACACCTAAACCTAGATTTTCCTATTACTCTAGTCAGTTGAGTGAGGTGGAAAATGAGGCAATGGTCTTAAATATCTAATGTCAGGATATCAGTTGTGAATTAAGAATATCAGAGGTAGGTAGGACAGGGTATGTGTCTAGAGCTGATATTTTAACTGCTTCCCTAAAAAGTATATGTTGTTCAGTCAGGTAGTAATGAAGTAGTGGCATCAAAAGTCCTATTTTCTGTTCT